AAACGAATGACGTGGAGAAGCAATCGATTAGGATTTTGAGATATGGGATATGGGTTTGCAAGATGTTTGAGATTTGTTGGGGGAGGTATAGTCCTCAGGTTGATAAAGGAGTTCATGAAATATTATTTACGGTGACGAAAATAAACAATTAAGTAAAATTTTGGGTTAAATTTTTTAAAAATGTTTGAGATTCATTGAGGTTGTATAATCTTTGATACATAAAGAGATTCATGATGAACAACACTTGCAGTGCAGAATGTTCGACGAAAAATCACGATTAATAATAGATTTTTTTTAAAAGAAGGGGCCAAGTGACAAGCATACAGGGATTTGGAACAAGATAGTAGGTACAAGGTTTCTGAAGAAGGTAAAATTCTAGCATGATTCCTTATAAAATTTTAGATTTCAAAAAATTTACTCTCAACTTCCTATTTCATTAATTTTAATCCCAAATTTTAAAAGAATTAAAAATTATTGTTCAAATTGAATTCATTTAACATTTGATATTTTTTATTATCTTCGCAGAACATTAAATGTATTGAATTATTAAATTATTTGAAATAAAAACAATGACCAAATTGATAGATTTTTAAATATTATATATTTATTAAATTATTTTGAATTATGATCAATTTGATAGATGTGTAAGTTTTTAGAACTAAAACTACTATTATATCATGTCACATTACTATTTATCTTAATTTAAGCTAGTAACAATTGCTTAAAATAGAAACAAAATGTAATGTTAATATATATATTTTTAAAAATAGTTAAATGACCAAAATATTTTTAAAATAATTGAGTGATCTAATTTGACCTAATTGTTTTTAAAACCTATAGGGATTCGCCATGGAGATATGTGAAGTTTGGGGAGTGAGAGACGGTGAGATATGAGCCGTTGATCTAAGGGCATTTCCTGTAATACGGAAGGGAAAATGAAGGTTGGATGCACGCGTGTGATAAGTAGTGGGGTCCACCCAGCTTTGACGATTTCTGCGTGCGATAGGCGCTTCTTTTCTCCCGTGATTTGCTTTTCTGTTTAGCTTTTATTTTTTCATTTTTTTTTGCATTAATCAAGTCAAAATTATTGTCACTATCAAAATTATTTGTATTTAGATTAGGGGTAAAATATACCATTCCTCAAACTTTACTCTCTCTTCTATTTGAGTTACCATACTTTTCAACTTTTTCATTTTACTAACTAAATTTTAAATTGTTCATGTTTGATTATTTTATATTATTTTATTATTATTTTGGTATGATGTGATATTTTTATTATTATTTCATTTATAAATAATTTAAAATATAAAATAGAAATACAAGGTGGTCATCCACTATTCGTTAGCGTTGGATGCCACTGTCGACGACTGTAGATGATGGTTGTTCATCTCAAATTTCATCGATCACTTCGCCTCGATCCCTTAAGTCTGAATCCGACCTCTATTGTATCAAAACATGCTCTGACTCCAATAAAAAAAATGAGAAAACCAAAACATCGACCGTTGTAGATGGTGGTCGATCAGTCTCAGATTTCATAGGTTGTTTGCCTCAAACCCATGAGTCTAAATCAAACCTCTATTCTATCGAAACATGCTCTAGAGTCCACGATAGAAGATCAAAAGTAAGGAAAATGAAATGTTTCAACTGTGATTCTTGAGTTTTGGGTCATTTTCAGATGAAATAACCACTGGATTCAAACTCAGGGAGTCTTAATAAAAAGACCAATGAAATTTAGGACTGAATGGTTGACGATTCCAAAGGCCAACAATGGTCGATGGTGGGCATTAATTTTTTAAATCTTTTTAAATTTAATAATAAAAAAACATTATTTTATTATTTATTTTAAATTATTTTTATATATTAATAATAAAAACGCATCACACCAAAAGAAGAATAAAATAATTTAGAGTGACCAAAACATGAGCAATTAAAAATTTAGTGATTAAATTAGAAAATTTGAAAGTAAAGTGAGTAAAATAAGAGGGGATAAAGTTTAATGAAAAATGATATAATTTACCCTTAGATTAAAGCTTCACTCAATCGTAATATACTTATTATAATAATTTAAAGCTATATATTTTTTTAAATAAAATATGCAAATTCAAATATATTTAACTTTTTTTTAATATATATATATATATATATATTTAAGATCATATAAAATTTAAACATTATATATAAAAGACATAACTGATATTAAAAACATTAGTTATGTTAACCATATTATAATTAATTTATTAGCTTCTAACAAGATAATGTATATTCTAAATCATTAAATTTTATTTTATTCTTCACCAACTATGATCCATGCACCCTAAGGGAATCCTTTGTGTAATATTCTTACCAGTTCAGGACATTGAAGAACCAACATCGAAGGAACAAACTGTGGTTTAAACGAATCAACCAACTGTCGGCTAAATCCAAAAACTATGAACGGTGGCTTCGGATCAGGTTTGCATATTTTCTGTGTGCTTTGTGGCCAGTCCAGGGCTACGTTGTAAGGAATAGGGATGTAAATGAGATAAGATAGATTGTGAGCTACTCGAAATCAATTTGATCAAAGTTCGATAAATACTCGGATCGAATGGACTCGACTCGACTCGAGTTCTTAACAAACCGAAATTAACTGTTCGACTCAAAAAACTCGTGAACATCTTAAAAATATAATATATTAAGATTTTATTTTTAAAATAAATTATTAATAATATTAACATTTATGTATTGATTTTTTATTTATAAAAATACAATAAGATTTTCATGTATTTAATGTTCAAGTTCAAGTTTGAGGCTTCAATCGAGTTAAGTTTAAGATTTTTTTTTTCATTTCGAGCCTTTTCGAATTGCCCACGAGTTTCAGTTCAGGATTTCGAGTTCGAGTCGAGCTTGAAAATTTTAAGCTCGCGAGTTTTCGAGTCGGTTCGTTTACACCCCTAGTTGGGAAGACTGGAGAGGAGGAAAGAGCCGATGGTTAGCAACACTTAACCGACAGGCTTCCCAATTCTTACTATAGCTTCTCGACTATCAAAAACTGGACTGCAACTGGCTCCGGTATATGCCCCCCACCGTCCGCTGCTGTTCTTGCATTAGTTTATGTCTCCCTAGGCCTACGAGTAGCAGCATTCTGGATTCTTTATTCAACTAGGTCGCAATACCTTCCCGTGCCTACATATCAGAATGTGTCGAGATGGAAGTACTGATCGGGTTCATATGCACCATTGCTGCATCAGGCTGCCAACAGATGAAGCTTTCTTCAGCACTGTTCTGCTTTCGAAACGTCATTAAAAGAGAATCAATTTCAACAGTCATGGATATACCCATCAGTCACTAGTTACAGCAAGCATAATCGCGGTGGGTCTTCTTATTAGTGTTGAACGGAAAGGTCTAAAGGGATAAATGGAAGAATATGAACTAGGGAAGGTATCGTATATAATGGTTTTTAGTATGGATATGCATACTATGGCAGGAGTTCGACTTTGGAAGCACAGCACTGCTTTTCGAGGTGTCTTCTCTATTTGCAGACGCCGTAATTTTTTGTTACATTTTCCTGTTGTTCTGGTACTTGCTGTTAACTTTTTTGATAACGAAATGGATTGTATAAAAGGAATTGCCATGGAAGCAATATCTTGATGATCAAGAGTCTAAAGTGAACACAACATAAATGTCAATAGCGAAGCTTAAAAGCTTCCTCTGGTAAAAGCAATGTGTTTCAAGGTGTATCGGAAAGAATAATGATGCTATAGCTTATGTACTGTCACACAAGATGTACCAAAGAAAACAAATGGTCAATCAACCCACGAAATTGCCATGGAAGCAATATCTTGATGATCAAGAGTCTAAGAGTGAACACAACATAAATGTCAATAGCGAAGCTTTAAAAGCTTCCTCTGGTAAAAGCAATGTGTTTCAAGGTGTATCGGAAAGAATAATGATGCTATAGCTTATGTACTGTCACCATTACCAAAGAAAACAAATGGTCAATCAACCCACGAATTGCATGAAGCATATGATTTTATCTGTAAATATTGAGATTAAGCAACCAATTTAGAACCTAAAAGAATTTGTACTTCCTAAAATTAAATTAATCTTCACAGTTAAACAACTTTTTATACCTCCCAAAATCCAACTCGCAAGCACAGATGACTCATTCCCTTTGAAGCTAAGCAAGGCTCATTTGGCACATTAGTAATGATACCCGACAGTTCAATAAATAAAGAAAACTCACCTCAGTGGCTGAATAGCAAGAAACTGACGATCACTTTACCCGGAAACCATAAGTGGTGATCTCATCATCATGTAATGATGCTTTGTAATATTTGACCAGTCAGCATTCACTCATGGGACGACTATACCACGACAAAGGTGGGAATATCATATGTAACAACAATTGTGCAAATTGCAGAATTCGCAATTCTCATTCCTTTTCGTTACCTCTCACCAACCTAAAAGTTGTACTGCAAATGGGCAAGCAGTATATTGTGTTATTCTATTGGACTTTTACACCTTCCGCTATCAACATTTTCATTCACAAAAGTTACCTCTTTTTATAATCAATTCTCTAGTTCTACTAACTATGGCCTGATATTTGATAACTGGTTCAGAACACCAAAGTCTTCAAAAGGAAATATGCATTCATGTACCATGCACTGCCAGAGTCGGCTTGATGTGCCTTGATTCTTTCACTCACACAACTATCATCCAAAAAGCTTCTAAACGGAGAAATACATGCAAAGGTTTTTGAAATGTTTAACCAGAAATCACTCCTGAGAAGTTATTTTCCAAAAGAAGTTAAGGACTTAATATCCAGGTTGTGAAACGACCTGCTGGTAGTTTATTATCTAACATGACTTTGTCAATGTGCAACAGAGTTAGTATCAACAATTCAAGACAACCATATCACATTCTATCACTTTTTCCTTTTGACCAAATATTAAGGTCTATGTTAGATCATGTTGCAGTAAACAATCCAACCAAACCAGGAAATACTAAATCCTAATCAAGAGGAAGTGAAAAGAAACTTTAGAATGCAGAATACAATATTTGTCTGAAAAAGAAAGAAAAGAGAACCTATAAGGTTAAGTTCGAGTACCCATCAGCAGCAGACTCAATTCACTACATCAGGCAACCAACATAATGAGCTCGAGGGTATTTTCTCTGCAGCTGTGGCCATTGCACAAAGAACTGGTCTGCAATCTGTAGCTTGTAAAGCAACAGACCACTTAAAGAGAGCTTTTTTACTCTTGCAATGCTCTCAACATAAAATATGGATGACCATCTAATCCCAATCACCTGAAAGAAAAAATTACAAATAATGGCCAACTCCAATTTTCTTAGATGTAGAAGCATTTAACTTTATCATCTTATTTTTTCTTTGGTGGAAAAATTTCCATCAGTTTTATGATAGAGAAAAAGGCAATACAAAATAAAATGGCTTCAAAGGCAAACAAACAAACCTTGAAAATGAAAGCAATCACACATAGAGGAAAACAAGTACCAGGGCCATTGCAAAGAACCTGCAATTAAAGTTTATAACAAGAAGTTTCATTTCTAGCATCAGTTTTTTAGTAAATGTAACAAAATTGAAGGAAAAAAAGTTAAACACGACAGAAACAGGAAAATACCACTTGAGGTCTGATTTTAATCATCAGCCACAATGCATGAACCGTGGCAACTAAAGTTGTCCAAACAGAGGTTACATATGACTGACCAACTTCCCTGCTTCTATAGATTTGCATAAATTCTGCAGAGATTCCCTTGACTCCACTTTGCTGTTGAAATAAATTTAAGGAAACCCCTTATTTGACCAGAAAAACAGGAAAATGGTTATGAAACACAGTTCTACTTCTTAATAATTATTAGCACATCTATGTAAGCAGTTCATTGTCAAATGTCGAACTCATTTTTCAACTTTACATTTTACAAACTGATAATAGTAGAAAAGATTAGGAAAAAAACTAACTACCAACTTGTGAAATCAGCCAATGGAATTTAAAAAACAAAGCAGCCAAAAGATTTTGAATAATACATGAAAAAGATTCTTATGTCGGCAAGATATTATCGGATCTAATTGTTTAGACAGCAGTTAGCCTAGATTGTCCAATATATCATACTTCAGGGTCTGCAATTAGGATCTCCTTTATAACATAGGTTAACTATACAAATCAATCGTGATATTAACAACAATTCCAATAAAAGAAGAAACTAATTTTACTGTAAACTGTACAAAGAAAATGAACAACATTCACATGCAAGGGGGAAGTAATAAAACGAATATCAAAATCGTTAAGTTAACAAATAACAATTCAACGGAATTTCACTAAATAAAGATATACAAAATGTACTCCCAAGAACAAAAATTCACAGTGAACAAATTGAAACCAAATGAAGAAAAATGCAATAAACAAAATCTTAATATCAAGCAAGAACATAATAAAAATGTTAAGCATCCAATTTTACCGAATCAGCCCAAGAATTCTCCAGCACGTGAGCTTTCTGAAGACTCATATTATCAGTAGAAGCGGCGATATAAAACCTCGGCGTAAACCGATCCTTTTGCAAAACTAACAAGAGATTAATCATCTCCGCCGTGTGTCCTCCTATACCGAGAAATCATAATCAAACATCGTGAATTTGAGAGTCAAATAAGGAAATAAGTTTGAAGCTCACCTGAACCTAAAACAATGAGAGTGCTGAGAGCCTGCTGCGGAGATCTTTTGCTTAGCGGCTTGCCGGTTCCGTAAATGACATAAATAACTCGGACTAAGATAATTGCGATGAAGGCGATGAAGCAAGAGATTCCGAGATTTGAAGACAAATTGGAGAAAGAACAGCTAGTGTTTTTCTCCATTAATTGATCTCTGTGGTAAATAAAAGTGAAAGGATTTGATTTGATGATTTTGATTATGGAAACAAATAGTTAACAATGAATATTTAGAGAGGAATATTCCAAAATCCAGGGATCAAAGGAATTCGGAATTAATTTTCCTTAAAATGAAACTGAAAATATTAGCGCGAGTAAGAAGAAAATTTTGAGGGAAATTCTATGGCAATAGTGAAGGGAAGGTCGGTTGATTTTTTTTAGCGAAAATTACGCGTTTAGTAACTAAATTATCAGTTTCATCCGTTTTAGCACCCAAGCTTTCAATATTGTTCCCAAAAATACCTAAAGTTTAGTTTTTATTTCATTTTAGTATCCATTCAAATTTAACTTTAGGTTTTGAATTTTTTTTGAAAGTTTAGGTATTAAAACAGGCCAAAATTGATATTTTGGGTACTAAATGTGTTAAATTTTTAACGACACGAGGCTAAAATAAAACAAAAATTAAATGTAAGGTATGATTTTTAAAAAAATTAAAAGTTTAGAAATGAAATATATCAAAATTGATAGTTTATGTACTAAATGTATATTTTACCCTTTTTATTACATGAATTTAATTTGAAAATTAAACTAGTGTACTTGTATTTGTTTCGATTCAAGTTTAAGAGAGTTTCATCTAATCTAAATTTAATTTGATAATCCATATTAAAATTCGCACATAACTCAACCTATATATACATTCTATCTACATTAGATAAGATAATCTAATTGAAAATAGCATAAATACATTATTACAATTATCTCTAAATATAATAATAATTATTATAATATTATCTTGGAGCAAGTCGAATTTTTCACTCAAAACCTAAATTTTATCTGATTTTTCCTTAAACTCGATTTAAATCTGAATAAAAATATATTTGATCGAGTTAGATTGGATCAAGACCCAACAAGTTTAGATCAAATGTCCTTGTCTAATAATATTTATATATATATCAAATGGCCAACTTAGCCATGCCATCTGCAATCTTGTTCCTTTCACGATTAACATGTTGAATTTCTACTCTTCAGTTTCTTTGGAGCCCTGAATATCAATAACTAATAATTGATAATTAACACGGTAAGGAATTATAGAATATTATAGAATATATGGAATAGGACAGAAAGCGTTGTTTTTATGAATTGTTCGTTCATTCAATTAATTTTCAAATAAGTCGTATTTTACTCAGACCAATAAATAAAGCTGAGGTTATAATTAAAGCCGCTAGTAAAAAACCGAAATAACTAGTTATAGTAGGCATGAAGGGGCTAAATGAAATATGTTCTTTTTATACATATGTTTATAAAGCACTTACCTAAGTTTCAATTTTTAAACGAGACGGGGATAAGCAAAAATATCAATTGAAATAATAAGTTCAATTGGTATTTTTTGATTCATCAATCATTCTAAACGTTATTCACAAAAATAGAGCGGCAGGCCAAGAAAAGAAAAAAAAAATCGATTCATCATCTTTGTAGTTAGGTCAAGAATAATTATTATAATATTATCTTGGAGCAAGTCGAATTTTTCACTCAAAACCTAAATTTTATCTGATTTTGTCGTAAACTCGATTTAAATCTGATTAAAAATATATTTGATCAGTTAGATTGGATCAAGACCCAACAAGTTTAGATCAAATGTCCTTATCTAATAATATTTATATATATATCAAATGGCCAACTTAGCCATGCCATCTGCAATCTTGTTCCTTTCACGATTAACATGTTGAATTTCTACTCTTCAGTTTCTTTGGAGATAGCATGTAATATGAGATACAATCAAAGAACGTTGTTGATTATCTTTGTACTGCTTCACTAACCGAATAGCATCCAAACTATCACATTCAACGATCACTTAAGGCAACCCCATCTCCCAAGCACACTTCAGTCCAAACAACACTCCCCATAACTCAGCTTCAACAATCGAGCAAATGCCTATAAATTTATCGAGACTGCGAATCCAATCACCATCGGAATTCCTTATAACACCCCCACAAGAAGCAATTCCGGATTCATTGATCCGAGCACCGTCCGAATTCATCTTGAACCAATCCCTCGAAGGACTCCACACACCTACTCTTCGCATCAAAATACCCTGAGAAACTCCCTCGACAACACCCGCTTGAATGGCACTGAATGTAATCTTTTTTGAATGTCTAACGATCTATCAAAGGTCTGTTGTCACTACTAAGCGTCTCAAAAACAGTAGAAATCCTCTGCAGCCACAAATTCCAAACTACTGCCCCGAAAAAGATATCCCAATTTTGTGTTGGGTGTGGGCCCACTATGAGGGTAAACCCACTAACCCGTGAACCCATAAAAAATATGGGTGTTTGGCATATTGTTGTTTTATTTGTTTGAAAGTTTACCAATTTAATGCTCCCTTTGACTTTGGTATAAAGCATATTTTACTTTTGGCTTTTATGTGTTTTGGGGGGCGATATTTTCAGCAGAAAATCAGATTTGCTTGAATGAGAGAGCAGAAGAAACAGAATTTCTCAAGATTGGTGTAGCAATGATTAACTTTTCGATCGGAGGTATATCCGTAATTCAATTGAGATAATTTTTGAACAGCAGCAAGGTGACTTGGTGTTCTTGAATTTGTATGGTTGGATTTTTCATATGAGCCCTATAGCAATGGGAAACACCAATTTTCAGCAGCTACGTTTATGGTGATTTTCTCCCATTTCTTCTCTTTTGTTAAAGATTACATGTTGTTTGTGTAATACCCCCAATTTGTATCAGACCCGAATATGAATTCGAAATATCACATCGATCTTTTAAATCATTTAATTATATAAAATAGAAGAAAATTCAAACTTAATTTAATCATACTAAATAATTTACATATATCAACTCAAAAAGTTTACAAAAAATGTTTAGAGCTTATACAATTTCATCAGTTAAGTACATGCCAACGTTATATGATACAACAAAGAACATACTGATAAATTTTTTCTGATCTGATCTTCGATGATGCTATGTTGTCTCCGCTACCTATCTTGGCTTTTAAACCTCTCAGATCCTAAGATTGAAACACTCACACGATAAGTCACAGACTTAATGAAACATATAAACAAATAATAGAAACTATAACTACTTAACGAATGCATGTACATATCATACAACACAAGGCTTATATGCACACATATCATTATTATCATTTATTAACATTCTTATCATTAATTCATTAATCTCGTTTATCATATAATCTTATACTTATCATTTATACAAAGCATATAATACATTGCACCAAGAAACACACATAACATCACATACACTTTATTTATACTATGTCTTTTAATAGCCCATGTACACTTTTGAGAACTAAAGATATGTGAGTACATAGAGGTTGTGCACATATGCTGTCACCACAACTCGTATAAGGTTCCACTAGGGGCATATAAAATTTTGTCCCGAATGACCACATAGAAATGTCCCGAAGGACCATATATATGTCCTGAAGGACCACATAGATGTCCCGAAAGACAACTCCTTAAGGATCACATATATATTCCAAAGGACCAAATATGTGTCCCAAAGAACCACATATATGTTCCAAAGGATTACATATATATCCCGAATGACCACATAGAACCCTCGACTCTTGGCATGTCAACTATACCCCTAGCTCTCTTATCACGTAACATGGGCAATATGATTTATGTTTGTCACATATTTACACATTCATGTCACATAGGCCTATAAACTCATAGCTTCTTATCACATATATCATGTAATATTCTCGTAGAGTCTTTATATCTCATTATCATATATATCATATCACAAATTTTTATATTCATATAGACATATAATCACGTAGATCACTTTCACATATTTCTTGTCATATGTCTTATCTCTTGTGATCATATAATCATATAACTTATTATCACACAGAGCTCATAGTCACATAATTTATCACACACATACATGCATTCACATATATCATATATAGAGAAGCGCTTAACATCTAGATATATGCATATACTCATGTACACATAGACATCATATCACTACATGTTTGTATACGGGTACTCAGGTAATCTAATATCGGAATTAGACTCGTTGCAAGTCTTAATTCCCTAATATAACTTATACTTAATGTCATGTACTCACCTTGGCCTTACTAGTCGATACAAATCTCTTATCGCTCTCTCAGTAAATCCTACTTTGATGGTCTGTCCGAACTTTGCTTTAGATCGATATCTACACGAATACACGATCTAATAAATATCAGAATTGAATTATTCGAAAAGATTCTTACTAATATAAACTAAACAAAGCATTAATTTCTTATTTCCAATTTAAGTAGTACCTTCATGCTTGTAGTATCGATATCATCCGACGGTATCGATACCCAATCGAAATCTTGTAATTTCATTGCAAGAATGGTATCAATACCTCCCTATTGGTATCGATACCCATGGTACCGATACTATCACTTTAGTATCGATACCCAATGAAGTTTTTATGTAACATCCGCAATACCGGGTTAGTGACCAAATTGTAAAGTTTCAGAATTTGGTGACTAAAGTATAAGAATGAAATAGTTCAATGATTATTGGATATATATGATGAAGGTTATTTAGTAATTATTAAAAGAAATAAAGGGCAAAAGGGTCAATTGACCAAGAAATGAATTAAAAATGGGATTATAAATGCACGTGGAAAGGGAGAGAATTCTCCATAGTTCTCTTCTCCTTTCTTCTTCTTCTTCACGTGGAAGCCAAGAGCCAAAGGTAAGCTTCTTTGTTTATAATTGAATTGTTGATTTTAAGGTTGGGTTTTAATTATTAGATGATAACTAAGCTTAAGGAAAGCTTAAATCATCTTAAATGCAAAGGATGGTGGAGTTAGAAGAGATTAAAGATTTAGAGTTTACAAATGAAATCTTGGAATAAAGTTCATTTCTTAAATTGGAAGTTAAATTTGACTTGTCAATGGTTAAATTAAGAGATTTGGAGTGATAGAATTGGATTTAGAACATATAGAAAATTTGGTATGATTCTTGAATTACATATGGAAGATAGGATTTTGAGGTTTAAGATGAAATAAATGAATATAGATTGGTTTAAG